AACTATAGCCAGCCTGCATGTAGGACAGTTACAGTGTGACAGTTTAAGAAAGGTATGTCCAAAATGACATTGTTTAAAGAGCTTAGCTGTTGGATGGTGTAATGAGGAGAATAGTCCTTAAGACTCTTGTGGTTGGTGAACTACAGAGAACTCACTGGTGTAATTGGTATAATTCTTTCATTTATTTACATTTATTGGTAGTATTGAGCAAATTCTAACTCCAGCCATACCTTACTGCATTATGAAAGACTCACATTAGATTAGCACATTCTTATGATGTTTTGTTGTTTTCTTATTTTGAAATGCTGCACATCTGCTCAATAACATAATAACCATTTATCAAAAAACAATTACCATTTGCAATTCCATCCACTTTGATTTTTCCACTAGTTTTCATTTAATTCTTTATATGCGTAGCTGACAGTGACAGCAATAAACTTGAGATGATTTTCATATGCAAATATCCAGAAGGCCTGTTGTCCAATAACCTGTGTACTTTGATCCATGGAAACAGCAGGTATTTGAATCCGCCGTTAACTGAAGCCCGGCTTCAATAGGGTTCTATGGGCTGTCCCTTCACTGTCTTCCACAAATACATTAATGCAGACTGTACTGTCTATCAAGTGCAGCTCACATTAAAAAGTAAGTAGTTCCAGAGTGCAGCAACACACAGTAGATCTTCCACACTTTGTAATAGCTATAAATACTAAACTGCAGTATGAGTTACGAGCAATAAAGATGCATTATTAACCATTTCAGCACAGTGTGTTGATGAAATATTAGGTGAAGCAGTGCTTCTTGTGTATTCTTAAAGCAACCATCACTGCTTTACAGAAACTACATGTACATGCAGCATTTATACCACATTCGTAATAGTAATAGTAATAGTATAGTACAGTAACTCTTCATTACAATTACATAACCATTTTGAAACATTCATTATATACATTCATGAGGAATAATGATCATATAACGCAAAGCATTTAACATGTTTAGTTAATGCTCCATGAATTTGTCATCAACAGATTAAAATACACATTCCTTCACTTTTTCTGGGAACAAATACAAAGCTGCATCATGTCTATGTATGTGCAGGTAATTTTATACAACTTAATTAGATACATTTAAATCACGTTAATCTGAAGAGAAGAAACCAAAAGTAAAATGAAACACAGAAAGTAAATGTGTTTATAAGACCGTAACTCAATTAAGGTCTGTAGCTGACAGACAAACTAGATTAATTATTAAGATTGACTTAATATCTACTTTCTGTTTCAGATTCCCTGAAAAGCACTCTGTTCTTACTCCTCATACAGCTGGCAGTGGGCCTGGCTGAAGGTATGCATGCGTTCCTCTCTGGAAAGCCCCTGTCAGCTCCTGTGAGTGGTGAAATAAACATTGGACTATGGGAGAATCACGCCTCTGATCTTTGACCATTCAGCTTGTTATCAGTGCAGTGTTCAAAAGCCTGCATCTCTGATGGTATGGGGTTGCATTGGTGCCTATAGTGTGGGCAGCTTACACGTCTGGAAAGGCACTATCAATGCTGAACAGTATATAGAGGTTTTAGAACAACATACGCTCCCTTCCAGACAGCATCTCTTTCAGGGAAGGCCTTGCATATTTCAGCAAGACAATGCTAAACCACATACTGCATCCTTCACAACAGCATGGCTTCGCAGAAGTCCAGGTGCTGAACTGGACTGTCTGCAGTCCAGACCTTTTACCAATAGAAATTATTTGGCGCATCAAGAAATGAAAAATCTGGCAATGAAGACCCACTGTTGAGCAGAGTCCTACATCAGACAAGAATGGGACAGCATTCCTCTCCCAAAACTCCAGCAGTAGGTCTCCTCACTTCCCAGATGTTTACAGACTGTTGTTAAAAGAAGACGGGATGCTACACAAAGGTAGACAAGGCCCTGTCCCGACTTTTTTGAGATGCGTTGCTGCCATCAGGTTCTAAATGTTTTCAATGGTAAAATGTCCCACTTTCAACATCTGATGTGTGTTCGATGTTCTATTATGAGGGTCTATGAGATGTGCAAATCATTGCATTATGATTTTATTTACCTTTATTTACATTTTACACAGTGTCCCAACTTTTTTGGAATTGGGGTTGTACCTGGACACTTGATCAGAGGCTTGATTTTACTAAAACACGTAGCTCTGCTCACAATGCAGTCTAAGCTAGTTAGATGTCAGTTCAGCTATAGAACCTAATCTTGTCAGTTATTGCATTAAAGTGCTGTCAAGTGCCTGAACATGTCACCAACATTGTATCTTTCCCAAACAGCTGTCCCTACGTTGACGGACATCTAAACTAATCAAACCCACTATTTGTATACAAATGGTGTGGCTGGACAAAAAGAAGCAGACAGGCAACCAAGAACTTGAACAATCCAGGGAAATAAGGTGGCAACCCTAGACAGATTCAGTATAGCATTGTGATTTCATGTTGAAATTAGCATTTCACTGTAGCATCTTGATATTTGTACATGTATTTAAATAGTTTTCAAAACACACACACCCAATAGTTTAGTTAGTTTAATATTTAGGTAAATAGAAGGTAGACTAACTTGGCTCAATTTAAAGAACACTGTCAATTCTATAGAATGAAGAGCTGTTTGGGAGCTGAAAGAGGCAAGCAGTGATCTGACTGATTTGGAATGCCGTCATTAACTTTATATCTGCTGGGAGTATTATCAAAGGAGTGACTGTTTAGAGGTTATTTCTCACTGTGGTTCACATCTTCTAGTTAAATGGATTTCACAAAGATTTTAATCCAATTAATTTATTTACATCAAATTACAGCCCTGAAGCTCAGCTCTGGCCCAGTTTAACCCCCCAAGATGCTTTATTAGCGTGAGTCAGCATGCATTGGCGACAGTTAAAAGAACTAAAATATTTTTAAATGGTAGTTAGACTGGGCTGAGACCAGTAATGTTGAAAGAGCACTGGCTGAGACAGAGACAAGTCTAAGTACCAATACAATGAAGTACAAGACAAGTTCGAGGCACTAAAAACCATCTTGAGTCCAGACTTGAGAACAGAAACCTATACTGCAGCCCTAGTCTGAAATAAGTGTGAGTGGTTAGGTTAAGAAAATAATCAAGAATGCCATTTGCACTTGTAGTTGTTCTTAAGAGAAAACTTAACAAATAAATGAAGACATTTATGAACAATTTTTTTTGAAGAACAATAATTTATCTTAACTGTTTTCTTAAGTGTGAAGTTAAGAAAAAAGACACATTTAAGAACATTTTATTTGTTAAATCACTTTTGGGAATCCAGGCCTGGATTATTACAACAGATGATTTAGTGTATTATTACAAATGTGCTGACATTATTATATTATTCTTAAAGATTCTGTTACACACTTTATAATGTAATAAGCACATTATGTAATACCTTCCTACATTATGCACAATACATGTTATTAGATGAAGATTTTATTACATTTTCAGCAGTTTATTACAATATATATAATGATAACATTAGATGACTTAATTACATCTGCTGTAATACATCATGTGCAGATATTACAACCCCATTTCCCAAAAAATTGGGATGCTGTGCAAAATGTAAAAAAAACCCAAAATGCAATGATGTGTAAATCATTCAATCCCTATATTTAATTGAAAATAGTACAAGACAACATATCAAATGTTGAAACTGTGAATTTTTATTGTTTTTTGAAAAATATTTGCCCATTTTGAATTTGCTGCCAACAACACATTTCAAAAAAGTTGGGACAGGGGCAACAAAAGGCTGGTAAAGTTGTGTAATGCTAAAATAAACACCTGGTGGTTGATTGGCAACAGGTCTGTAACATGATTGAGTATAAAAAAGCATCTCAGAGAGGCTGAGTCTTTCAGAAGTACAGATGAGGAGGGGTCACCACTCTGTGAAAGACTGCATGATCAAATAGTGCAACAATTCAAGAATAACATTTCTCAATGTAAAATAGCAAAGAACTTTTGCTTTTCATCATCTACAGTACATAATAACATTAAAAGATTCAAAGAATCTGGAGAAATCTATGTATGCAAGGGACAAGGCCAAAAACCAGTATTTGCTGGTCATGATTTTTGGGCCCTCAGGTGGCACTACATTAAAAACAGACATGACTCTGTAGTGGAAATCGTTGCATGGCTTCAGGAACACTTCTGAAAACCACTGTCTGTGAAAACAGACAAATTCTAATTAAAACTCTGAAATGCAAAGAAGAAATCATATATAAACAGGATCCAGAAATGACACCACCTTCTCTGGACCTGAGCTTATTTAAAATGGATTGAGAAGTGGAAATGTGTCCTGTTGTCTGACAAAACAACATTTGAAATTCTTTTTGGAAATCATGGACACTATGTTCTCTGGGTTAAAGACCACTTGGTTTGATGTGCACAGCTGTGAAAGCACCATTATTTCTGAATGATATATGCATGTTCTGGCAACATATGCTGCCATCCAGACGACGTCTTTTTCAGGGGATGCCCTGCGTATTACAGCAAGACAATGTAAAACCACATTCTGCATGTATTACAACAGCATTGCTCTGTATTGTATGAGTCCAGGTGCTAAACTGGCCTGTCTGCAATCCAGACCTGTCACCCACTGAAAAACATTTGGCGCGTTATGGAATGAAAAATCCGATAAATGAGCCCCCGAACTGTAGAGCAGCTGAAATCCTATGTTAAGTAAGAATGGGAAAACATTTCACTTTCAAAACTACAGCAGTCGGTCTCCGCAGTTCCCAAACACTTACAGAGTGTTGGTAAAAGAAGAGCTGATGAAACACAGTGGTAAACATGCCCTGTCCTAACTTTTTTGGAACGTGTTGTTGTCATCAAAATAAAAATGGGCATACATTTTTTTAAAAAAACAACACAATTTCTCAGTTTCAACAGTTTGATATGTTGTCTTTGTATTATTTTCCTTTTAAAACATGGTTTACTTGATTTGCATATCAATGCATTCGATTTTTATTTACATTCTGCACAGTGTCCCAACTTTTTTGGAAATGGGGTTGTACATTTTGAGTTGCTACAAAGCTACATCTTTGAGATTACAAGAGATGTAACTGCTCACCATGTGGCCTGGAGGGAGAAGGATGCAGTCTCACTTCCTGCTCTAAAATGCAGGGATGTGGCTAAAATAAGGCTCCACCCATGGACTAAAAATCTTTATGTTATGGTAGCGACAAGAAAACATGGGACGGCATTTTTTGAAGTTTTTTATTTGAAAATTTAAACTCCATGATAAACCTTAATCTTTCAACTTCATTTTAAAAGAAATTTAAAACATCATTTGAAAACAGCACTGAAAAAATGTAAGTATTATGTTAACAAAAAAATAAAAAATGAAACTTTTATTATTGGTTTATTGTTTGTGACAGCCACCTCCCAATAGAAAGTATCTTATAAATAATTATTTTGCTTTTGTACATATTTGGCTTATTAGTATCTCAATGAATCCTTTGGGTCTAAGTCAATCGTAACATAATCATTGTAAATATCTAAGGTCAGAATACCTGTTTTATTTAAATAGCTTTTACTGTGGGAGCACAGTTTGGATTAATTTGGTGGATTGGTTCATATATAACTAGGAATGTAGACTGAATCTGTGAAAGATGAAAGTCCTCTCTTAACAGGATAGAGAACAGATTGCCCTGGTGATGGGAAGGGAATGCGGAATTAGTAGTAGAGGATTCTGGGAGTTGAAGTGTTCAGAGCTTGAGGAAGTCTGAAAGGCGGCTGATACAACATCACTGTATGACATTAGTGTGCATCCCTACTGTAAGACAACAGTACAGTGTACTTGAGTACTGCATACATTTGTCAGTTTAAAAATGTTTTAGACTGAACTACCTTTTAAGATAATCAGTAGTAGCCCTCATGTTCAGCACTGCTGGCTGAGGCGCAGATGGCTGCCAGTTTTCTGTTGTTCTCCTTTATTTCACTGATGAGTTTTGGTATGCCTTCAGCAGAGAGGAGCTGATTCCCTGTGATTTCTCCTGCTGCCTTCATCAGATCCTCCATCACCTTCATCACTGGTTTCTGGAAGATGAATCTGCGAGTCTGAGTTTCAGCCACTCTGGCCTTTCCACTCAGACCACTCAGGACATGGACAGCCTTTCTCACTTTCTTTTGGAAATCAGCTATAGCCTCTCTCTGCTCCTTCACCTTCTGAATCTTGTTACGGATCTGCTCAACCTTATCACGTTTCTGCTTGATGTCGCCCTCAGTCTGCGAAATTGTCTGCTTATATTCAGACACTTTACTTCGGTATTTTTCCACTTGAGACTCAGAGCTTCTCACCTCCTCTTCAGCTATTTCTGCAGCATGTGTAGCTTCATCTATTTCCATTGCACCACCAATTGCCATGGCAGGACCTGCACAGAATAGGAACAAAGTATATGTTTGAAATGCCTGCTTAGATATAGTGGCAGATTCATAAAACCCAGTGGTAACAACCCTACACCACATCAGATGTGCGGCACAGTATATAATAGCTATTCATAAAGTCACTGTGGCTGTTATTAGTGCACCAGTGTCTTTTTAATACTGCAGTATTTTTGCCAGTAGCCCATACACATTTCACTACTATTCACAATAAAAATGGAACTGAATGTGCATTTAAGATATATATTCGCCAAGTATTGCATTTAAGAGATAACAGGTGTAATATTCTCTTATAATAGCATGTCATCTTCATTAAGGCCTAAAACACAGGCTGCTTATTTAAAGCCACATGTAGACAGCGTCCCTTATAAGCAAGAGAATGAACTATGTACATTTTAACAGTTTGTCATGCTATTATCTTACTATCTGAAGGTGTCAAAGGGGTTCTTTTGGGAACCAAACCATGGAATCCCCTTTTGGATCCTTAAAGAACCTTCAATTGAATGAGATGTGCAAGATTGAGGACACATTTGTTTGTTTGGTCTATTGTATAGAATTATTTTGAATACACATTACTTGATAATGTAAGTATATTTTCCACTTTACTTTTAGCTGAAACAAAAACAAGTAGAGAGATTCAAAATCAGTTACTAGTCAAGTCTTAATTATGAGTTGGTAGTTTGTATAATTAGTAGTGAAAATGATCATTTTACTGGGAGGGATACAACATAATAACTAATTAATAACAATAAAGCAGTGGCTTAATCAACAGGTAATTAACAGAACTAACTCATAAGTACTAATTAGGTCTCATGTTACTTCTTGATATGATTAAACTCATTTATTACTTCATTACCAGTGTAATAAGCAGCAGTTAGTACACGAGTTAATGAGTAATCAAGCTATAAACTAAATAACAAACTGAAAGATCAGTGTACTCAACTACTAATTGCTAAGCACACAATCAGTAAGTAAGTAATAACTGATGCTGTTATATATGAATAATGAGGATTTATTACTTATTAGATTGTCGTCACTGCCCAAAGAAAATCAAGCATCTCCAAAATGGAAACTTTACGCAAGATGGCAAAAACATTCTTTACTTTTTAATGTTTGATCCAATTTTGGAGCAATTTTATTGGTCCAATAATCACAAAATTTTCATACAATACAAAGGACAGTCGCAGAGCTTAAATTATGCAGAAAACTAAAAGTCACAAAAAAATTAAGCTACTTTTTTTGACAGCGACAATATAATTATCATTATACCTTAATATACAGTGTTACCTAATAATTAGATTTATTTTTTTTTTTTATTGGTGATTTACTTAACGATGTGTCATACTGAACTTAATGCAAATGAGATGACGTTCAATTCTCAAACACCCATCAAGATATGATGGTTGAAAAAACATTAGATATACTATAAAATGCTGTATACATTCTGAACACTATTACTTTGGATTCATTTTTAAGTTAAAAAAAATTTGTCTGCCTTGCGACACAGAACTGGCCTGCAACGCTGCATACACTTTCACTCTAGGGGTGCTCCCCAGCCCCCTCAGCACCTCCAGTTCCCACATCCCTGGCTGTAGTAAACTAGAAGTGTGGTTCTCACCAGCAATCCATCCAACTATTGGTATTAACGTCAATCCCAATCCTACACCTGTCACGACTTTAGCATTACGCTTCCTCTCTTGTTGTTTCCGAAGTGTGTCTCTTGCTGAATTCAGATTTCTTCTACTCTGCTCCACGGAACGTTCAGACTGCTTCAGTAAATTTTCATTAGATGTCTGCTCTGTTCTCAAGTTGTCTAACTTTTGTTTTGTGTCTTTCATCTCTTGCTCAAGCTTTCCCATGTCTCGTGTCAGGATCTCAATGTTTTCATCCAGACTTCTCAGTCCTGTACCGGCTGCCTGTTCTGACCGCTCCAGGTTCTTCTTGGCCTGCACAATCTGCTTTCTGCTGTGTTTGTAGTTGGCACACCGTCCACTAATGGGATCTACATCTCCATCAATGAGGGCCTCATAGACCTTGTTGATGGACCAGAGGCCATCTTTCAGAGGTGAAATGACTGCTGCGATTGAGTTCTTCACCAAAACTCTGTGGAGACAAATGAAGAGCACACTCAGACTAAAACATATAAACAGTTCTATTTGAGAAAACAACTTCCTGGAAAGTCAGAAAATGGTTGGTAGAAATTCATTTGTAACTATTACCTTTAAAAGACAATCATTCTATGGTAATTAACAATTTCTATTCTGTTTCTTCTCAGTATGTACAAAAGACTTTTCAACTTACTCAGACAAACGGATCTGGTTCATGTTAATCTAAGAGGAACAGAAAAACAGAGTGTGTTTCAAACGAAACATCGTGAGATCATCATACTTTAAAAACCACAGCTGTAGGATAGACTAGATGAATTATTAAGATCAACTCAATACTTTGTTTCAGATTTGCTGAAAAACTCTGAATCCTTAAGACAAATCTGGGTAGTGATTCTTAGAAAGGCAATGTTTTCATACTCCTAATTTCTCTTATCATGCAGTTGTCGGTTAGCCTGGCTGGGGGCAGTGATGCATTCGTCTCTAGAAGGCCCCTCTGACCTGTGATATAAAACAGCTAATGGCTCAGACTAATGGTATAAACATCATAGATGCATTGTGATGTGAAGATGGCTGTTGCCATCAGTACACAGATCTGAAATGTTATAATCAGTTACAATTGATTATAAGAATATCCAATAAAGTACGCATTTGTTTTCATGCATCTTAACAGGGCCTCCAGCCAGGCCCACTACCACCTGCATAAGCAGAGAACAAACGAGGAGCAGGAAAAGATTGTTTCTCAAGGAATAAGTACGTAGAGCTGTCTTAAGGAACTATTATCATGTGATTACAATAATTTTCTCTTGTTAAACTCAGTGTATAGACCCTGTACTACCGCATTGACATTAGGTGCTCACACTGGTTGCAAAAAAAGCTGAATTAAACAGAGCATCACTATGAAATACTGGCTATTTAGTTGGATTTCTTTGATAAAAATGTTCTGCTTTGCTGTAGGATGTCAAAACTGCAATAATGTTCAAATACAACTTAGTTTTTACTGCATTTCATCACATTGGACCCCATTTTCAAGCAAACATAAGACATCTTTGGGTGAGAGAACTAGACAAAGTATCTTATGAACAAGAAATCCAGTGTAGATCAAACATGAAAATAACATGCCTGAGTTTTATATACTGGTTCAATAATGTGATCTATAGTCACCCAACATGTTAACATTAAGGACAGAACTATTGTTGGATTTAGTATAACATTCTTGTGAATGCAGACAAGCAGCTGAAAGAAAGAAATCTTACCTCCTGTTAGTCCTATCAGACCTGCTGTTGATCTCAGCTCAGCAGAGAGGATTAGCCTACATGAAACTGTGTTCCTCCTTTTAAAGTGCAGTAGCACAGCTCAGCTGGTGGGCTGGGCTTTTTGATCCTGTGGGTTATAAATGTGCTCTGACTTTCCTTTATTCTTTCATTCCTTCTCTTACATTGAGGTCAATGGAACTGAGAGCACTTCATTAGCACCTTCCCTGAAAACTGCTGAGATATCAAGGTCGGGCAGCTTGTTTAAACCTAAGATTATCATTTACTGCATGCATTTAAACATTTTTTTATGATTAGGGCAAATGCCAGCTTAATTTGCTGATACAGATAAGGAATGTTTTCCATAATGATTCCTGCCAGCAGAAAGTAATGATTAAATCTGATAGTGGTGCACTTTATAGGTGTAAAATTAAAGACTATAGCCATCTGTTGCTCAATTTACCAGCCTCCTTCTATCCATTCATTAATGAACACCCAGGAGCACCACTAGACCCAATATACTGGTAAGGTAAGGTAATCATTAACAGTACAATTTTGGACATGATTTGTATTGGCATAGTTGTTAAAATCCATGAACTGTAAATCATTCTACAGCAAGGGTACCCGATACTGGTGCTAGAGATCTACCAGCCTGGACAGTTTAGCTCCAAACCTAATCCAGCACACCTGATCCAGATAATGAAGGCCTCCAGAAGTAAATTTCTCTATAATGTATCACTTCACATCAAACCACTCTGAATGACTTTGTTTACATTTCAACCACTGAAATTTGCTTGATTTTGAAAAATCTGGAATGATGAATCACACTCCACTATCGGGCAATCTGATGGACAAATCTGGGTTTAGCGGATGCCAGGAGACCACAACTGACTGGAATGAATAATGCAAACAGTAAAGTTTGGTTGAGGAGGGATAATGGTTTGGGGCTCTTTTTCAGGTTTTAGACTAGGCCTGTTAGTTCCAGTGAAGGATTATGTTAATGTTACATCATATAATTCTAGAGAATGAAGACATTTTTAGAGAATTATGTGAATCCAACATTGTCGCAATAGTTGGAAAAGGTCTTTTCCTGTTCCAGCACGACTGTGCTCGTGCACAAAGCAGGTCCATAAAGACATGGATTGCTGAGTTTGGTGTGGAGGAACTCCAGTGGCCTGCCCAGAGCCCTTATCTCCACCCCTATTGAAAACCTTTGAGATGAATTTGAACGCTGATTTGGAGCCAGGACTGCTTGTCTAACATCAGTGCCTAAACTCACGTATGATTTTCGGACTAAATGGGCACAAATTCCTACAGACACACTCCAAAATCTTGTGGAAAGCCTTCCCAGAAAAAGTGAAGGCTGTAGTAAGTGTAAAGGTGGGGCCAACTCCATATTAATGCCTATGGGTTTGGAATGGGATGTCCACCAAGCCCATGTAAGTGCTATGGTCAAAGTGTCCAAATAAATTTGGCTATATATTGTAGCTGTACTTGCAGTGCTGCCCACGAATGGGATCTACATTTCCATCATCGAAAGCCTCATAGCCTCTTTTCATGGAGCACAGTAACTGCTGACATGAAGGTAATAAAAAAAGATTGTGGATAATAAAAGATAATAAAGGCAAACTTACTAAGACAAATGCATCTGGCTCATGTTGAACCGAGAGGAAAAGAAAAAATGAAAATGTGTTTTACAGCAGGAGACCTTTACAACCCCCATTAAATCCTGTAGCTGATAGACAAACTAGATTAACTGTTAGGATCAATTCAATTTGTACTTTCTGTTTCAGTGCACTCTCTTCCTACTCCTTATTGCAGTGCAGTGGACAGGGCCTGACTGGAGTCACTCATCCATTCCTTTCTGAAAAGCCCTGCAAGCCCCTATGAGTGGATAAGTGAAATGGTAAATTGTTTTCCAAATGTATTCACTAACTACAGATCCCCCACCTACCTCCATTGACAGAGCAGTGTGTGGCAGAAGCTGGTCATTTGGTCACTTAGACATAAGCAAACGACTCCTTAAAGCAGGGGCATTCCAAAATGTTCAAAAATAAGTATTAGTAAAGTATAAGTAAATGATTAAGATTTTAATGATGTCATTCGGAGAGAAAGTTACTTCATGAAATGCTTACTAATGCTTTAGACACAGATTTATAGTTTTAGTTTTGAGGTAACATTATGGCCTAGAACATATTTTTTTCAAAATTAATACCATTTGTGGCAGGAGTTACATGCAGTGCATAGTAGTTGTCTAGATTCTTCCACTATTGTGGTCATTTTTGGTTGTAAATAGCTGCATGTAAATGGCTATATTTACATTGTAGACATTTCAACTCCTGGTTCCTATGACCATCTCTGTAAAGAAATCCAAATCAATAAATTTCTCTACCATGAATCGTTTCACATCAGACCACTCTGAATGACTTTCTTACATCTCAACCACTGAATTATGCAGCATTTTAAGAAATCAGTGGAATTCTCCTTAAAATGCTAATACAATGCAAAAGTTTGGGGATGCCCTTTTTTTACCTTCCTGATGAAACTGGTGCCTGCCTTTAACAGCTGATAGTAGCTAGACAATGTTTGACATGCCTCTCACTATACTGAGTTCTTCATGTGTTCATACTAATGTGTCACCATCATAGGCCTCTAAAAGTAGTCAAATGGTGTTAATGGTTTTAATTCTTATTCTTACTCTGGTACTTCTCTAACAGTAGTGAACTTTTACGTTCACTACATTTTATTGTTTTGCTCTCTGGTGTTGACCAGAGGAACTCCCCCCAGCTGGACTGCATGTAGACAATTTCAGTATCCCCTATACCATTAGTAAAGGACAGCCCAGTTGCCTCCCAGCAAGAAGGGCCTGGGTTCAGTTTCCTAGCTGGGGTGACCAGAGCCCTCCTTGTGTGGAGTTTGCATGTTTTCCCTGTGTCTGTGTGTTTCCTAGGGATGAGTGTATATGTGACTGTATACATGTTCTCCCTGTGTCTGTGTTAATACCCCTGGGGTGAGTGTGAATGTGACTGTATATGCATCTGTATATCTGCCCTGTAATGGACCAGCGGCCTGTCCAGGGTATTTCCTGCCTTCCGCCCAATGAATGCGGGGATAGGCTGCAGCATCCCCGTGACCCAGAAAGATAAGCAGCTTAGATAGCGTGTGTGTGTTCAGAGTGGAACACTTCATAGGACAGTATATTTTGGCTTGATTTCAGCCAAGAAGAACACAAGCAAAAGCTTCTCTAAATGTCTTCATACTTAAGAAACTCCATTTGTACAGAAAACAATAGAATCTTTGTTGACATGTGGATTTGCACAGGATTAATATAACCTAAGGTTATTTCTATGCTTAATTTTATGGGTAAAAGGTGTTGGATTCTTTACTGACGTGGCAGTGCACTGTCTATTAAAATGAATGGCATGGCACATTTGGACAAAACTAAAAATCACTGAGAAACTATGGCAAAAATGAAATTACCCTACCTTTTCTCACAACTTTTTTAGCAGAACTCTTTGAATAATTTGCTAGGGCACACTCGTTGCCTAAGCTATATTAAAATAATATATGTATTTTTAAAAAAGTGCAAATCCTGGAAAAATGTCAAACTTTAGCTGATGTTTTGTATGCAAGGAAATGATAAAAGAGCCCTGGAATAAAAGCCTAGTAATCCACACAAACAGCCAACACTGAGAGATTTAGCACAATCTAGCACACTGCTGCCTCTGAGAGAGGAGGTTTTTATTGACAGTATCTCATGATAGATGTCTGACAAAAATACAGTGAAAAGTAAATACATGAATGAATGACTGTTGTTGCCATATGGTTAATGGGGTTTTTCTTTACTGTCAGAGGCTTAACCCTGTGGTTAGTTGTAAACAAGACAGCTGCAGTCTAGCAGGTGTAGCTGTTAACATCCAGCTGGTGTTTATTCAAGATTGTAGGTGCAGCTGTACGGGGAGTTTTGCAGGATATCTTCAGCTCGAAGTGTTTGCTACACCTTCAACAATTGAAACCTTGAATAGTATAAATCTCTCCTCACTTGAGTCATTCTTGTCCAGAGCATCAAGGGTGCATCATTACATGAGACTACACTGTGGGGCTTATTTTAAAGATACCAAACGTTTTTTTAAGCAAATGTGATCTCTCAGCTTTGTAGAAAGAACAAACTGAAAGCTGCAATGTATTTGTAACCTGTAGAACTTATGTAACCTCTCCATGTGACCCCTTTTACAGCCACTACAGCTTTCACTTTCCACTGAGAAAGGGGCAGTGCCTTCATCCTACTCATTATAAATACTCTGCAGCATTCAGTGAGTTGAATAGAAGGCTGAAAGATCCACATCTAAACCCTGCCTGAAAACACTCTGGAAATCAAGGTATGGCATATAATAGTAATGATGCACCTATCACTTTATTCAGCATGTGTACTTTATTCAAATGTTTTACAGGCAGCATGAAAACTTATTTTGATCTCATGTTAAACTCAACTGCAAGTTATATGTAGCCTATTTATTTCATGTATATGTAAATGTGGCTAGTGTGATAACAAATGTCTGTAGAGCAAAGCATAGTGTATTCTAATGAAACTGTGAGGAAATCATGCAATGATGAGTTACCTCCCTATCTGTGGCTTTATACTGAATTCATCCACTTTCCATTTCCAATATATCTTAACCTAAAATTTGAATCTACAAACTAGTTTTGTTCTTGTAACGTATTTATAAAAATGCATTACACGCTAAAGCCATGTTTATTATGCATTATAAATCGTAAGTAGTGTCCATAAACAGTCCTATTGTCACTGCCAAAGTAATTTAGTTCCAGCTGGCTTAGTGCGTAATGACCAACAAACCTACACTCTTAAAAGATGGTGCTTCAAGGGTTCTTTAGTAAAGAAAATAGTTCTATATAGAACCATGAACATGATTTCTTGGAATGGAATAATAACCATTATAATAATCATTTTAATGTATTATTACCTGTCAAATATTTTAAGTACAGTGACAATGTTCATACTTGCCATTATGAGTATATTGTGATGATAGAGGTTCTCAGAAGAAACTTGAAGGAGTCCAGGTGTTGGTCTGTAAGCCAGCTTTAATCACAACTCCAAAATGGCATATTGACATAAATGGAAAAGAATATCTCTCACTGCTCACTGCTAGGCTTCCTGGGTGCTTCTTAATAACCAGAACACGAACATCGGACTTGTCTTCTTGAGAAGAATGTTCTTGACAAATTACCTTGCAAGAACAACCTCACAAGAACACAAGGACAGAGGACACGCCTACAGGACTTTGAGATGTACTGTGTACTTGCTATTGTGCAATAGCCCACTATGAGCCTAACTGATTTCACTAGGAGAGACCACCCCTATAGGCTCTTTGCTATGGTAGTTACAAGCTGATGCACAAACACAGCCATTACATTCTTTTCTTTTTGCTCTTAATTTTAAGGTGTTTAAAATATTATGGGGCTAACAGACTGAAATTACAAAAAGTAAACACTCAGGAACCACCCAATTAACACAAATCAACACAATTACTATGTGCAAAAAATAATTTAATAAATATATTAGCATAAAACATTCTTTTGTAACTCATCTTCAGTGTTTTTCAAAGTCAAACTCCAAGTGCCCATCATCAATGTGTAGGTCTCAGACACCAAAGTAACTCTATCATTCAAGTTCATCACCTATTTGGCCCAGATCCTGCATCAGAAAGTAAATAATAATGGATGGTTGTCATGAATTTTTTCACTTTAATGGATGGTGCCAAGTGTTATAAACTATAACAATGAAAGAACTCATTCAGGTACTTTAACCAGCAATGGTAAATGCGTTCTTGGTAAACGTGTTCTTGAGTATTGGAACACAAACTGGGTCGTAGAAGATAACATCAGGCAAAACACAAGGACAAAAG